GCCCAAAGAGTGTCAGTTTAGTTCTGGGTAGTGCCCAAAGAGTGTCAGTTTAGTTCTGGGTAGTGCCCAAAGAGTGTCAGTTTAATTCTGGGTAGTGCAGAAAGAGTGTCAGTTTAGTTCTGGGTAGTGCCCAAAGAGTGTCAGTTTAATTCTGGGTAGTGCAGAAAGAGTGTCAGTTTAACTCTGGGTAGTGCCCAAAGAGTGTCAGTTTAGTTCTGGGTAGTGCAGAAAGAGTGTCAGTTTAGTTCTGGGTAGTGCAGAAAGAGTGTCAGTTTAGTTCTGGGTAGTGCCCAAAGAGTGTCAGTTTAGTTCTGGGTAGTGCCCAAAGAGTGTCAGTTTAGTTCTGGGTAGTGCCCAAAGAGTGTCAGTTTAATTCTGGGTAGTGCAGAAAGAGTGTCAGTTTAACTCTGGGTAGTGCCCAAAGAGTGTCAGTTTAGTTCTGGGTAGTGCAGAAAGAGTGTCAGTTTAGTTCTGGGTAGTGCCCAAAGAGTGTCAGTTTAATTCTGGGTAGTGCAGAAAGAGTGTCAGTTTAACTCTGGGTAGTGCCCAAAGAGTGTCAGTTTAGTTCTGGGTAGTGCAGAAAGAGTGTCAGTTTAGTTCTGGGTAGTGCAGGAAGAGTGTCAGTTTAGTTCTGGGTAGTGCAGAAAGAGTGTCAGTTTAGTTCTGGGTAGTGCCCAAAGAGTGTCAGTTTAATTCTGGGTAGTGCAGAAAGAGTGTCAGTTTAACTCTGGGTAGTGCCCAAAGAGTGTCAGTTTAGTTCTGGGTAGTGCAGAAAGAGTGTCAGTTTAGTTCTGGGTAGTGCAGAAAGAGTGTCAGTTTAGTTCTGGGTAGTGCCCAAAGAGTGTCAGTTTAGTTCTGGGTAGTGCCCAAAGAGTGTCAGTTTAGTTCTGGGTAGTGCCCAAAGAGTGTCAGTTTAATTCTGGGTAGTGTAGAAAGAGTGTCAGTTTAATTCTGGGTAGTGCAGAAAGAGTGTCAGTTTAATTCTGGGTAGTGCCCAAAAAGTGGCTGTTTAAATCTGGTCCAACAATACTATCCACACTAAAACAGGTAGGGTGATACTATAACCTGTCAGTTGTCTTGGTTTTGAGTTAAAACATTTAGAATTGTAAATCTCTATTTACAGCTGTGCTCTCCACAAACCTCCAGGAAATGGTTGTATAAAGTTAACTAAAGCCAGGTCAGATGCAGACCACCTTGGGGCAGAGTTTATTAAAGTCAATAGAGGCAAGGTTAACTGAGGCAAGGTCACACTAGAGGCAGGGTTAACTAAGGGCAGATCGGGCAAAAGGCAGGGTTAAATGAAGCAAGTTACACTAGAGGCAGGGTTAACTAAGGGCAGATCGGGCAAGAGGCAGGGTTAACTAAGGGCAGATCAGACAAAAGGCAGGGTTAACTAAGGGCAGATCAGACTCCAGGCAGGGTTAACCAAGCGCAGATCAGACAAGAGGCAGGGTTAACTAAGGGCAGATCAGACAAGAGGCAGGGTTAACTAAGGGCAGATCAGACAAGAGGCAGGGTTAACTAAGGGCAGATCAGACAAGAGGCAGGGTAAAATAAGGGCAGATCAGACAAGAGGCAGGGTTAACTAAGGGCAGATCAGACAAGAGGCAGGGTAAACTAAGGGCAGATCAGACAAGAGGCAGGGTTAACTAAGGGCAGATCAGACAAGAGGCAGGGTAAACTAAGGGCAGATCATACTACAGGCAGGGTTAACTAAGGGCAGATCATACTACAGGCAGGGTTAACTACGGGCAGATCATACTACAGGCAGGGTTAACTACGGGCAGATCATACTACAGGCAGGGTTAACTGCGTGCAGATCATACTACAGGCAGGGTTAACTACGTGCAGATCATACTACAGGCAGGGTTAACTACGGGCAGATCATACTACAGGCAGGGTTAACTAAGGGCAGATCAGACAAGAGGCAGGGTTAACTAAGGGCAGATCAGACAAGAGGCAGGGTTAACTAAGGGCAGATCAGACAAGAGGCAGGGTAAACTAAGGGCAGATCATACTACAGGCAGGGTTAACTACGGGCAGATCATACTACAGGCAGGGTTAACTAAGGGCAGATCAGACAAGAGGCAGGGTTAACTAAGGGCAGATCAGACAAGAGGCAGGGTTAACTAAGGGCAGATCAGACAAAAGGCAGGGTTAACTAAGGGCAGATCAGACTCCAGGCAGGGTTAACTAAGGGCAGATCAGACAAGAGGCAGGGTTAACTAAGGGCAGATCAGACAAGAGGCAGGGTAAACTAAGGGCAGATCAGACTCCAGGCAGGGTTAACTAAGGGCAGATCAGACTCCAGGCAGGGTTAACTGAGGGCAGATCAGACTCCAGGCAGGGTTAACTAAGGGCAGATCATACTACATTTAGGGTTAACTACGGGCAGATCATACTACAGGCAGGGTTAACTACGGGCAGATCATACTACAGGCAGGGTTAACTAAGGGCAGATCATACTACATTTAGGGTTAACTACGGGCAGATCATACTACAGGCAGGGTTAACTACGGGCAGATCATACTACAGGCAGGGTTAACTACGGGCAGATCATACTACAGGCAGGGTTAACTACGGGCAGATCATACTACAGGCAGGGTTAACTACGGGCAGATCATACTACAGGCAGGGTTAACTACGGGCAGATCATACTACAGGCAGGGTTAACTACGGGCAGATCATACTACAGGCAGGGTTAACTAAGGGCAGATCATACTACAGGCAGGGTTAACTACGGGCAGATCATACTACAGGCAGGGTTAACTACGGGCAGATCAGACAAGAGGCAGGGTTAACTACGGGCAGATCAGACAAGAGGCAGGGTTAACTAAGGGCAGATCATACTACAGGCAGGGATAACTATGGGCAGATCATACTACAGGCAGGGATTATGCACATGTGTGTTTATGCGACTGCTTGTACTAGCTTAGAGAGGCCCGGGCTAAAGTGCAAGAACACAGAGATACCATGTCGCAGTTTTTAAGGTCTTTTATTCTATGGCGCGGCCGAAGATCGAACCATCGAGCTTCCGCTCCCCGGGCAAACGCTCTATCCACTAGACCACGGTGACAGTCATGAAACGTATTAGACATTCTATTCTACAGAAGGTCCCCGACACAAATCCATATACTGCATTATTTATAGGTCACATTATGAATTCATGGTTTCATGTGTTCAACACTTTGTTTACTTAATTCAAGTATGTAGCCATGTTAAATAATCATGTTTTCTGTAACAGATTTGTGGACCTGGGAAGATCCGGGTAGAAAATAGGTATCAAACAACCCATGCTTGCCGTAACAGGCGACTGTGATTGTCGTAAGATGTGACTAACGGGATGTCAATCACTGGATTGCTTGGTCTGGACTCGATTATGTTCAGACCGCCGTCATATAGCTGGAATATTGCTGAGTGAGGCGTTAAACAAAACACAAACAAACAAACAAAATAAAACAAGTAAAACAGGCATTTTAATGTCCACATTCTAAGAATTTGGATTTGCCATGGATACGTAGGCGTTGCTTGCTCTCACCTTCCCATAACTACCAGTTTGACGCCATCCGTCATAGACATCTCAACACGTGACCAAAGAACCTGAAACATCACGTACTTGTTCCCGCTAATGATGACACCTCAATTTGTTCTAGAGCTTTCAAGATCATTTAATTTTGACCTTTTTTTACCATACACTTAAATTCTCTTAAAATGCATAGTCTTGTAAACATCTTCTTTGAACTTGGGTGGTCGGGTAGCCTAGTGGTTAAAGCGTTGGCTCGTCACGACGAAAACCCGGGTTCGATTCCCGACATGGGTACAATGTGTAAAGCCCATTTCTGGTGTCCCCTGCAGTGATATTGCTGGAATATTGCTAAAAGCGGCGTACAACCAAACTCATTCACTCCTGAAACTGAAATTTGGCATATGTTTTTCCTTATGTTGACCTAATATTGTGTTCAAACTATTAGATTTTAGTGTTACATTTTAGTCCTCAGTATTTTTCAGAAAATTTGAATATCAATGCTGATAACAGCGTTATCACTATCCCCTGCCATTAGAATTGTTTTTGTTCGTATAGTCGTGACTATAAACTATAAAAAACAACAACCTGGGCCGCTGTGTCATCAGAAAATAAAAGATTAAATGTGAAATTAATACACACAAAAGGCTCCTTCTCTGGAAAAAAAGTAACTCAGACTTTGTAAGTATCTCTAAGATAAACTAACTTCAGTAGTTTCTGAGAAAGCTTGTCCCCATTGCACACTATGCACTGAGTTGAAAAGCATGGAGCAAGGGCCATAACTCGGTAAACAAATTCATTTCCGACACCAATTTTCGAACTCAGTTTAGATCATGGCCAGCAACATCAGTGTGTGAAATTTCATTTGTCTGCCTTAAATAGTTTTTGAGAAAATTTGACCCCTTTGAGAAACGGAGGAAGGGTGGAAGGACGGACGGGCGGCAAGAATATCATTGCAACGGCCAGAAAAGAATGGCCCAGTTTGTAGTGAAAGAGTGTTGTCGTGTTCATGTACCCACTAGAAAACGTCGGACACTCTGCTTCACACACATCTTCATGTTGTTGAAGGGGGGGGGGGGGGGGGGGGGGGTAGAGTGAGCTGGGGACAACGCCGCCTTTAACAGTGTTCCAGTTCTATCACGGCGTCTCAGCTTATTGTGGCAGGAAAACCCGAAGTGATGAAACCCACAAGTACGGAATTGTACTGAAAAACAAATTTTGTTTAGGTTTTAATTTTTCGTACATCTTCCCCAAGCACCTCACAGCGATATCCCGTTCGCTGAGCTATATACCATTACCGAGAGTGTAACGAAGGTGTCACGCGCTGGGAAGGAGCTTGCATCTTCCCTAGGCAAGGGAGGTAACTGATTTGTGGAAACTGGACTTTTAAAGTCTATTAACTCCCTTGCATCATGCAAGCTCCTCACAGCGATATCCCGTTCGCGGAGCTCTCTATACTATTACCGAGAGTGTAACGAAGGTGTCACGCGCTGGGAAGGAGCTTGGGGAAGATGCCCAGGTAAGTGCAATCTCTCTTCTGCACAATAAATTAACCACATGAACACATCTTTGAAAGGCATTTAGAAGTGATACACATAGAGAAGAGAATTTATGGATGTCAACTTCTTTATAATGAGTGTTCCTCATAATAAAGAAGTTGACATCCATAAATTATCTTCCTCATATGACCACGGATTCTGAATTTTGGATACACACTTCAACACCATGGTATTCATTATGGCAAATCTTGAATTCAATGCAGAACAATTTGAAATTTTTAGTGTGTTTGATTTGTATTTGAATACATGTATAACTTTTAATAGTCAATTGTCTCCCTCGCCAGCCAAGAACGCATATCATCTTCACAGAAACTAGAGACGTTTGGCTTACCGACTTCAATACATCCTTCTTTGCCGCGGAGTATGCTTTCTACTTACCGCAAGATATTCATACGAAGTAGGACATGTTTTGTTGCAAGCCGTTCTACTTCAGTGTGATGATATAACCTACATTCGACGATCCTACCCTGCAGATAGACAGGTGCATCTGGCGCTGTGAATATATGGCAGCTGACTTGCCACAATGCACGACTTTCAATTGATCCTCATAAAACTTGGTGTCATCTGTTCAAGCATTGCACTTACCATTACAGAACATGGACCAACAGAGTGTTCTTGACAATACATTATTTCAACAACAAACCAACGAAACAGGTGTATTTTCGATTGTCGTATCGCCCGATGACCTTGGCAAGGATATTTCCTATTGTCGTTTTCTCCCGATGACTTTGGCAGGCAAATTTGCGTTTGCCGTTTTCGCCCGATGATCTAGTCGGCGACTAGTTATTCCCAGAACAAGGTTTGGTTATTTATTATTCCAATCACATGCAAGTGGAATCAGTGATAAGGTTAACATTACTGTATAGAAAGCGTCAACTGTGAGGGAGCATGTCTAAATAACATGACGTCACAATATTAATCAGCGCCGCGACACTCGAGTATTCTCTTCGTTCTCATTAAGTGTGTATTTAGTATAATATACTACTCAAATTTGGTCAGGGCTTTCACCAGTCTAAGGCATAATGTTTTTCACGATTTTTTTAATATTTAGCATAATAATCTATTCTGGACCAACTATCCAGAAATCGATATTGTGAGCAACGATCCACACCATCGAGGTACGACGTCACGCAATCAACCAAGTCGCCTCCTGTGTGAAAACTTGACTTGCCTATACATGTATTAGTGTGCCATTTTCGAGAACACTTTGTATCATCACTATTTGATGGTGATTCCTAACCATATGGTTATGGTATATCAGATACCTGCTCTGAGCAGATATGTCCTACTGTTATGGAAATATTGTTGTCGCTTTAAATTATTACAAACAGAAAGTGTTTTAAATCTAACGAAAACAATTTCACAATCTTCCCTGTTGTTGTGTCGAGGGTCACATTGATGTAGTGTGTTAGTACGTAAATCTTGTATATGTAAATGTTGGTTTGTTGTTTCACGCCGCACTCGGCAATATTCCAGCTATATGGCGGCAGTCTGTAAATAATCGAGTCTGGACCAGACAACCCAGTGATTGACATCATGAGCATCGATCCCCGCGATCGGGATACGATGAAATGCATCAACCAAGTCAGCGAGCCTCAGCCCGATCCCGTTGGTCGTCTCTTACGAGAGGCATTTTCGCCTTTTACGGCAAGTGTGGTTTGCTGGAAGACCTTTTCTAACCCGGATCTTCACCGGCCATGTAAATGCAAAAAGTCTTGATTTACCTTAACTGCATCAGCTTAGCAGAATATCCGGTAGAGGTGGCTGATCTGGGGTGGGGATATACGTTGCCCCCCCCCCCCCCCCCCCCTCCCCCTTTTTTTTTAAGTCGCCATCTGTCAAGGTATTACGTGCCCCCTACCCCCACCCTTTTTCAAAATTCTTGATCAGCCTCTGGGTGGTGATGGCGAGACCCCCCCTACCTTGTGTTCGACCTATTCCTATCTTTTCAACAGTATTAAAAACAAGCTACCCTGTGTGACATGGTATCGTGTGACACCATGACCAGTTCCCTGATTGTAATCTTCCCCAAAGCCTACAAAGAGGTTCAGTTTATTTTATTACCTTCGTCACACCATGTGTTGCCTGATATTGCGACATGAGTAGTCTCCCCTTCATATTGAAAACATATCCTAACATGCAACCCATTGTGAACATGGCATAGGTAACGAGACTTGTTTCTATTAGAATGATTCACGGAATCTACACCCCTCAGAGGCTCAGACGTTCGCTAATAGTAATCAAATCCCCCGTAAGAGGATTAATAGATTAACGCTTCGCTGAAATGGGCTTTATTAGACCTCGAATTAATCCAATATTAAATCCCACATTTAACCCGTACCTCCGACGTGAAGTGTTATTCTGTAGAAAGCAAGTGCCTGGTTTCGCTAGAGTTTGTACACTGAATACAGGACTCCTCCAGTGACGGCCACTTTAAGGTAAGGTTCCTACCTTCGCGATTATTATTATTATTATTATTATTATTATTATTATTATATACCACAGGTATCAAGGTACTAGTATCTGCTCAAATCCGGTTTTATTTGTTCCCCGACCATTGGATCCTGTGCATTCCAGCTATCATTCTCAACTCCCTCGGGAGTATACAACCATGCTGCTAAGGGGCGCTAGAAGGTTTTTACATCCACCTCACATATCGGGTACCCATTCCCTGCCCGTTGGTAGATCTCATGTGTAAGAATTATTTCAAGAGATAATATTTAATATGTTACATTATATTTCAAATTGGAAGAATTGCCCCTGAGTCAAATCACCTTAAAATCTAATGATGACAATTATATACTTTCGGTTGGTTATGAGCGACAAGCACTAGACATACGTTCTATCCTGTAAAGAGGGCTAATTTGTTACATAAAAGGACGCTTGAGCGAAAAAACAGCGTACAAATTTGTTGTTTAAGTATATCGTTCGCATTATGATATATCAAAATGTACGTGACTAGGTCATAATTGTCATATTCACTAATGTGTTGTCAAGAAACGACGGTTTTTTCATAGGGCCACGATTGACACGGTATTTCTCATTAAAGACATGTGGGTATGTATATTCCCGTACGATACCAACACTATCTTATCCTTATCGTATGCAGCAACATGCGTAATCTTGGCCGATATGACAATGTCATCCTTCCTCAGTCAAACTTGAACAACTGTCGTCTCATGTCACGTTGTAAGAAGCCTCCATATTTACATACAACATATATATACAACACGCCCAAAATACTTATGAATGTACTGCTGTTATGCTTCAGTAGATATAACAAGATAAAACACTCGCTGGGCCCAAGCGACATGGAACGCCCAAAATACTTATGAATGCACTGCTGTTATGCTTCAATTGGTATAACCAGATACTGAACAGGCATCACAAAAGGTTTTTAGCTGTGTCCCACTCTATACGTTTATGTCAATATGAGGTGAGGTGAGATGGGGTCGCGATAGAAATGATTGTACTTATGTAGCGACGTGCATGCATGTTTTATATGCCGGTTTTCTAGTACTGTCCCACGGAGATACCATGCCCCGTGAATAACCCCTCAGACAGATGATACGGACGCCTTGTGTTTTTCCCCTTAATGCCGACTCCTATACACTGGGTCCACTAGAGCACAGAGACGGCCATGTCAACATGTAACAAATGCGACTGCAAAGAAGAACATTGTATTTGCAAATGTAATTCATGTTGATATTTCATCCGTGAAGAACTAGGTTAAAATTGGCCTTCTGCAACCCATGTTTATCGTAAGCGGCGACTTCAGAGATCGGATTGACGGGATAGTCATGTTCGCTGTCATGGCTGAGGCATGTCATTGTATCCCAATTAGGTAGATGGATGTCAATTACTGGATTGTCTGCTACATGTTCGATTATTTATAGGCCACCGTCAGAGAAGCGGAACATTGCTGAGTGCAGCGTTAAACAACAAACCAACAAATCTTACTGATATTATGTCTTAACAGAAATGAAAGAAGAAGAATGGACGGATCGGTGCGAGAGATATTTTACGTCAATAGCTGACAACGAAAAGAAAGTGCTTTCACAGGCTGAGGCGAAGTCGACTAGTGTCCCTTCTGTGGAGAGAGGGGAGAGGACGGAGAGCGAGGGTATATACCCCACCCTGATAGGGTGGATGTCTCTCATGGATCTACACGGTACAGCGCTCATTGGGAATTCAAAGTCCATCCCAGTCAAGGTTTTTTGGTTGTTTGTGTGTGCGACAGGGTTAGCTTCTCTGTCCTATGTAATTTCCGATCGAGTCGCACATTACAAGAACGCTGAATCACATTTCGTTCTTGTTTCGTCCGACACGGTAGAACCAGCCGTGCATACCCCATTGACAATTACGGTGTGCAATATAAATATGTTGAGAAAATCGACGTTGAGAGGGACTCGTTTTATGGGGTTAATGGACATTGAGGACCACGTAGACAATATGTCGTTGCCATTTCGAGACCTAAGGAAAGACGTTAAGGAGGATATTTTGAAGGATACCAAACTTCAAAAGTTTGGTCGTTCATTCAAACTGTCGTCCTTGATCGAGAGTACAAGGGGCGAGTTTGAGGCATTTAGAGGGATGTTGTCCCCCACGGACTGGGAGGTACTATACCAGAATGCTATCGACGGTGACATGGAAAGCTTACGACGTGCGTTACGTTTGAGTCGGGAGGAATTACATCGCCACGGCATCAGGGTCGACGACGACATCGTGCACTGCTGGAAAGATGGGAAGGCATGTACATCGGGGTGAGTGCATAGTTCAATTACTGTATAAGATTGGAAACAATATGGATTCTTAATGTAACTAATGATGTTCAAACGTAAATAATTAAATGACTGTGTTGAATTATCACAGTGAATGCTGGTAATGGTGCCTATAATTGAAACGAGGCAGCTAATTAACGTATGTAATTAATGATTAAACTTCCAACTAATGCACAGTTGTAACTGACAATTACTATCAACTAATGAACGTGTGTAATTGATAATTAAACTGAATTAATAAACATGTAACCAATGCTTTTGTCGATCTGTATTTTGTTTGTACTTTAAGTAGGAAATTCATTGTTATTTCACATACATACATACATACATACATACATACATACATACATACATACATACATACATACATAGTGACAATATAGATAAAGATATAGATTTCAGATTGCAAACGTAGAAAACACACATTTACATTTTACTAAAGCACATGCTTTACATAGACATTGTTGGAAGTTACACAGTTAATTAACATACTATTACATGAATTAACTTACCAAGATTTCATGCAGAAAGCGACCATATAGTCTATTATATTTGTTTCTAAATTCAAAATACAATGGACATTTAGGTATATGAAAACATAAATTTTGATAGATATGTTCTTAACATTATAAGGAAGTGATTTTCTTAAATAAAACGGCATGAAATGACTGTCAAAATGATATTTATGCAAAACACATTTTCCTGACAATGACTGTGACCTATTGTTTGAATGATTTGCAACGTGTTCACTTGAGTCGTACAATGGGTGTATCAGGCGTCACCCCAACGACGGGTTCACTACAGGATTAGATCTACAGTACTTGGCACCTGTGTTACTGTACTAAGTCTGCATAATCCAGCCAGGCTCGGGCATTACACGCTGACTGACATTTACATTACGTGATTACATCTTTAGCCTAATCCGCCATAACAAATCACTGTGATAAGTGTCGGAATTGTTAATCAGATTAAAGGGTAAGCATGAAAATGCGTATATAGAACATGATTTCCAATAATAGGTTTGTGGAAGCATAGACAATTATTTCAGGCGTAAGGCGTCTGTAGAGAGATAATTAAATAATTAAAAGGTTGCAAGGGGATTGGACCATAGCTTAATTTTTAATGAGCGAATTTATCGGAAGATGAATTATACATGACACTGACGAAAGCGCGAATTTTCATTGGCTATGAAATATTGAAAGTACGAATCTATTTCCCTTAATTGGTATTGGCTATGGGGAATGCGAACAATTAACTATTATCAGCTATCAATTGATGAAAGTTCGAATCCATTTATCTGAACTATTCTTGGCTATCAATTAATGAAAGTTCAAATCTATATACTTAAGGGGCGGTCGGGTAGCTTAGTGGTTAAAGCGTTCGCTCGTCACGCCGAAGACCCGGGTTCGATTCCCGACATGGGTACAATGTGTGAAGCCCATTTTCTGGTGTCCCCCGCCGTGATATTGCTGGAATATACCATTCAAACTGTACTCACTCACTATTTACTTAAACTATTCTTGGCTATCAATTGATGAAAGTTCGAATCTATTTACTTAAACTATTCTTGGCTATCAATTGATGAACGTTCGAATTTGGCTATGCGTTGATTTAAGTACGAATCTTTTTACCTTAACTAGTCCTGGTTGTAAAAAAAATGAAAAAACGAACCTTTTTACTTAAACTATTCTGGGCTATACATTGATTTAAGTACGAAAGTATGATTTGATATAAATTGACGAAAGTACGATGTCTACTTACCTTACCCGTTCTTGGCTATAGCATACCCCATCATTGTAGTGTGTACTTCAGATGACGCCAACTCCGTGAATATGTACTTTGCTTTCAAAGAGTCTACTTGAGGTCGCAGTAACTTGTTTCCTACCGTACCTGTATCATCTACAAATAAATTATTACACGATATATGGATTTTCCATTGAACGAGAGCGCGGACACATTCGCGAAATGTTTGACGTTCCTACGTAACTGTATTCGAGAAATGGCGTATGCACTGACGGACTACTTTCACATCCCTTGAGAAACCCTTTAAAAATCCCCAAGCATGAATAAAATCAGAACCGTTCTGATTGATCAATCAATGAAGCAAGCAAGCATGTAATGGTTGTAGATGTATACTGAACCGCAAAAGAAACGCCACCCCAAGTAACATTGCATGAAAAGTTGCCATTTAAATATCTGGGTAATTTTTGTCAAAATTTCTAAAATTTGACATTACCTTGTCCGGAAAAATGAAATATGATGATAAAAAAATAAAGCAGATGACATTAATACCGATCGCTCAAATGCATCACGGCAACGGCCATGGTAACCCGATGCAAGTAAGTTCCGTGCAAATTGAAATGCACATGCGTTCCCCCATTTCTTGCCCTGTAAAAATCCACCCAGATCGGATAACATTCATTCGTTATTGAATTGCTACCACATGTCAAGATTGACAAGAAATCAGCGACACTGAGCCCTTGGACGATTGCAAGCTGGACAAATAGCCCCAGCAATTAATTTCAACCTTCATGAACAGTTTTGCGGCTTTTGCCAAGTTTCATCTTTTTAATGTCTCAAAGTATGTTTACAGTGTTTGGACAAATAAGGTTTCTCGTATATCTGTCCATGGTGACGTTTCTTTTGCGGTTCAGTATATATATACTGTGATACAGTAGATGAATAAGTCAATGGATAAATAATACAAACTATAGTTGTTTGCATGCTATATGTTTTTTCCCAATATTACCAACAACTGTTATTTGATGGTGCTATCTATTTTCTTATGTTTTAGTGAAATGGCGCTACATGTTGATAGTTTCCATGGCAATTGTTTGGAAATGAATTTGTCAACTCCTGATTTATTGTTTGGTGAGTATGTCCATGAAATCTCGTATAGAGTTCCCGGTATTTATTAATATTATTTTGTTGTTGTTGTTGTTGTTGTATAACGCCTTATTCAGCAATATTCCAGCTTTATGACGGCGGTCTGTAAATAATCAAGTCTGGACCAGACAATCCAGTGATTGACATCATGAGCATCGATCCACGCAATTGAGATACGATGACATGCATCAACCAAGTCAGCGAGCCTGACCACCCGATCCCGTTAGTCGCCTTTTACGGCAATCATCGATATCTATTAGGGGCGGTCGGGTAGCCTAGTGGTTAAAGCGTTCGCTCCTCACGCCGAAGACCCGGGTTCGATTCCCGACATGGGTAAAATGTGTGAAGCCCATTTCTGGTGTCCCCAGGCGTGATATTGCTGGAATATTGCTAAAAGCGGCGTAAAGCCGTACTCACTCACTCGATATCTATTAACAACGTAAGGCGTCGTAATTCCACGTGCAGTATTACAACCCTTGTGCGTGCAAGAAACGTATGATCGTGGGTTCGACTCCCAGATCCGCCCTGCTAATGGTGCAGGGTTTGTCAGCATCATTCCCGTACCAATGTGATAAACCAGCATAGCTGCAGTAGATCACTTCGGGCTTCCCTCCCACATTAAGCTGTTCAATTACTAATTCTATTTAAAGCTGTTTAATGCTGTGTGTACATTAATAGTAGCATGTACCTGCATTTAAATCTTTCGGAGTATGCATGGTTCTCTTATTAGGTTTTCAGACTAAGTACTAGACAAGCCTTGGAGGTGTGTCTTTGTATTATGTTTTTAAATCCATCAAGATTGGAGAGGTTAAAAAGATAAATATAAACTATTCCAATCTTATGTTCTGGCAGGGTATGAAACAGACCACAGGACTGGCTAGCTGAAATACTTGCCAGCCCTGACCCAAACCTGCCTGCCCACTATAATCATATGTTTCTCAGGATAAGCTAACGGGGTTTCTTTTTGGTTACATTTTATCATTCATCTTTGCATGTGAATTAATTATTATCCTCGGGAAATATTTAGAATATTGTCACATATGAAATATAACCCGACCGTCGGGCAGGGGGATTTGAAAATCTGGCAGCCCGAGTTGAAATCAACCCGTCTCGGACGGTCGGACAGGCAGGTATTTCGAACACTGGTTCTGGTCGCGGCTTTTGGCGCCTATTGGTCGAATCCGTACACAAATAAAACTAAAAAGTGGCAGCAAGGAACAGAAATGTGGCATTCACCAACAGCAAAACATTCTCCATTACATCAACCATAGCAATCAAAGCGTCGTAAAATATAACACGAATACCGTTCAAGAATGAAACCACCACGATGGTATTCCTACTGGGTGAGGTGAGGTGAAATGGGGTTTAACGTCGCGTCCAAGATTATTGCACTTATATAGCGACGTGCATGCACGTGTGTGTGTGTGTGGCTGCTTGTACTAGTCCGGACTGATGCCGATTTATAGTGCTAGCACACTGAGATACCATGCCGCAGTATAACATGAATACCCCACTCAGACACAGTAAACTGACTCCGCGCCGACCAGTCCTTGTTTTAGACCCCTTAATGCCGAGCGCCAGACAGGGTAACAACAAGTACCATCTTTTAACGTCTTTTGGTATGACGCGGTCGGGGATCGAACCCCGGACCTTCCTCTCATCGGGCGGACGCTCTACCACTAGACCACGGAGGCGGTCGGTGTTCCTACTGAAGAACGGCGTGTACCGTCAACTCACTGTGTACAGACCTCGGTAATGCAAAGTGTCTCCCCGGGGGCGTTTCGCGGCAGAATCCCCAATACAGCGGAACCCCTTTTATCTGGACAACAAAGTACTTGAGACATCACTGTCTTCTGTGTTTAGCTGCTTATCATCATGCTCCACCTGTGTTACGCTTTCAACACATTTAGAATTTCGAAATTGAGAGTTTGCGCCATTAGGTGCTGTTGTCTTTAGATGTGTGGGGTATCAATCTGCTTCAGAAACAAGTTACCCGTTATTAGTCATGGAGACGTCGATGTCCAGCATAGTGTCCGGTCCGTCTGAAACAAAGCATGACGTCAATCAATGAAAATGGACCTTGAGTACATCAAATATATATATGGACTCTTTGTCAGCACTTCACTGCACACAGGACCGAACAGTGTCTCTATGGGTTAGGCCCAACAATGTTATGCTCCCTTTCTATAACACTTCACCCTGCAGATGAATGGCATTGTGTACATGGTAATGGTAACTCCTGGGGATGTGACAAAGGTACTCCCTCATGACAACCTAATTCTTGAACTGGTGCTGGTTCCCCCATTAAATATCAACAAAGCAGGCTTTTATCACACTTACAGTATGAAAGATTCTATATGTGTAGACTTTAAGTGCACTTCAATATGTATTTTTAATGTCCCGCTTGACATTCGTGCTTCGAAAGGTGAAGTTGTTTGTTTCTTAAGCGATGCCACTTTAGCGTGAAATCAGCACAGCTTATACTTGAAATAAATGAATTATTATCCAAGTGTTGAGTAGGTGTTTGTCAATAATGTTTAATTTAAAGACTTGACAATTTTAGTTTGTACCTGACTAACCTTAGTAACCAGTATTATGAAGAGAACCAAGCACACTCCGAATAACCTGCATATTTATGTTTATAAAGCAGCGCCATTAGAGTGGTTTTCACTTGTCCTCGTACTTATGTGAATGAGTTAAGAGTTTCCTTCTAATCGAGCACGTGTGTGGAGTTAATTGCAAAATTATATGTAGAAACTAATTTTAAAGCATGTCCCTGTTGTTTTACTATACCTACCCGTTTAATTAATATTATATTATATTTTTGTGTATGTTCTAATACTCTCCCTGGTTTATGTACAACAGAGAAAGCATCTCTTATCTTCAATGCCAGGCTCGAGGACTACCTTGGCCTCTTCGCGTCAACAGTAGGGTTCAAGGTCAGAGTTCAAGCTGGATTCAACGAATCGGAGACCGCGGAAGAGTACTTCGTAACGCCCGGAAACAAACTCCAGTTAAATCTACGAAAGGTAAAATACATACGGAAGCCTTTTAGGGTCAATTGTTTTGTTTTTTTGTTCTAAAAGGCTTCCGTACGGTATTGCTTGTTTCGAAAAACGTCATGTTCGATGCAGAGTTGGATTAAAGATGGCGTATATCATATCCATGTATTATTCGGAAACAAAGTTACTGAAGTGTTTACGTTAGTGTATCCTGATATTACAAAACCGTGTCAGAATTAATGAAGGTCTCTACTAGTAGGTGTCCCAGTGTTGTCATATTCTTGAGACCCCTTGAAGATCGGAGTCTTCAGCAACCCATGCTTGCCGTAAAAGACGACTATGCTTGTCGTAAGAGGCGACTAACGGGATCGGGTGATCAGGCTCGCTGACTTGGTTGATGCATGTCATCGTATCCCAATTGCGCGGATCGATGCTCATGATGTCAAAAACTGAATTCTCTGGCCCAGACTCGATTGTATATAGACCGCCTTCATAAAGCTGGAATATTGCTGAGTGCGGCGTTAAACAACCAACCAACCAAAAAACAAACAAACCATATTCTATACTGTTGTCCTTACTTTCAGGTGTGCGAATTCAGACGCGAGTCTTGCAGTGATGGACAGAAAAACCGCAAGGTAAGTTCTTTTCCCATAACCCCCATAGAGTTCCCGGGTCAGAATACGTCCCTACTACCCCGTCCTTGTTGTAGGAGTCGACTCAAAGAAGGACCGGTCACCAAATGTGTCATCCGGCTGATTGGGTGTCTTCTTACCCCGACTGAGTGGATCTGTGCTCGGACAGTATGTCACCGGTTCGCCAAGCATAGACTCGATGAATAGCAGGCCTCCATGATATAGCAATTATACATTCAACTACGTCAATAACCATAACGTTATTATATACACGTGGGGTATATGAACAAGATGTAACTTTTGTTACGTTTCGATGAAGACGTTATCTTATCATCGGTAAAGACAGGGGAACAGATGTCGTACATAGGGAATAACGATCAATACTCTTACAGAACAAAGCCGAATACATTTCAGCTGTACTATTCACGTACCAAATTACTTTTATACATGTACACTCTCAGAAGAGAACCACAAATACATTTTTGATGGATTTATTGAATGGATTAACGGAAGGCGTTGCATCTCTCAATCGCGGTATGTTTGATAAAGAGGGCAGGTAAACGTTTGCACGTGGATGCGTTTTGGCGAATTTGCCCGTTTGTGGTCTGTAGGTTGCATTAACTGCCTTTCGACCTCTGCAACAATGGTGATTGATATGTTTGAACCACCAAGTCATTTTGCGTTTCTTTTTTGGTAGAGTATATTTGGGGCAGTTTGGAAACCGGGGTAGAATAGGTGCCCCCGCCCAATTTACAAGACTTGTAAGATCCGACAATATCAGATCGAGTTGTCACTGTGTGGGTGACATGGCTGATTTAGCGTCACCTTGACCCGCTACCGTGGATAGCTGTCCATGCTTTCAGACAGTGTGTCCGACCAAAGCCGCTGTGATCGCTAGATTGTTGTTGCACGTGGTCCTGTGCACAGCGCGCAGGTCACAAATCAAGCAAAGTCAAGCAACGTTGATCGCGGAGAGTAGTTGGATGGGTGACCATGTTCGGCGGCTTGACTCCTGAGAGTTTTTAGGGATTCTGTCCTGCCCCACACTGAAGCACATGCGGTGTCTCCTTAGGCAAGTAACTTTGTTCCAAATATGCATCCGTTCACCCAGCAGTGAATGGCTACCCGGTAAGATGACATTGGGACTGTTAACCTTCTAGCGCCTTACAGGGAGTTTGTGGTGTATACTCTCCAGGGAGCCGAGAAAATGATGGAGTGCACACTGATCCATTGACGGGTACTATGGTATTATTAGCGCTTTGAGCATGCTGCAACACGGTTGAACGATAGCACATTACAAATGCCCAAATATTATTATTATTTTATATTGCTGACTGCTTCGTTAAAAATACTTCACTCACAGTGAGGTGGGGTGAAATAGGGTTTAACATCGCGTTCGATATTATTGCACTGATATAGCGACGCATGTGTGCGTGTGTGTATATATATGTTCTAGTCCGAACTAATGCCGGTTTTTATAGAGCTAGCCTACTGAAACACCATGCCGCAGTTTTACCCCACTCAGACACAGTATACAGAGTCCGAGCTGACCAGCACTTAATGCCGAGCGTCATGCAGGCAGGGTAATAACAAGTAACATCTCCCGCTCCCCGGGCAGACACCATATCCACTAGACCACGGAGGCTGTCACTCTCGATACATGATCGCGTCACATGGCTCAATAACTCATGGCGTAATTGATTCCGAGAATAAATGAACGTGCTTCTTATATGGTTGTGTAAACTGTTTTTTATATTCTCTATTTCAGCAGTGTCAAGAGGAATGCCTGGACGATCTGACACGTGACCTGTGTGGCTGTTCTGTGTCCATTGATGCCGCGAGTGTCGACAGATGCCGTGTGGACCATGAGTATCAATGTACGCTTCATGATGTCATTACTCCTGCCATGCTCTAAAACAGAAAGCTTATTATAAATCCATTACTATCGATCAAAAGGGTGGTCCTGTGGTTACGGTGCAATTCTCATTGCAGAGTTGTCTCCGCCCGCCGTGTCAGGATCTGCTTATTGTGAACTCGAATCCAAGATTCTCCCTGATTTGATTTGTTCGGGGTATTCACACAAAAAAAGATCAGACATTCATACAGTTTGGCCATCACTCTGTGAATGTTCATACGCCATGGGAATCACACAATGTGGAAGTCAATTCTTAAATATAACCACTGATACATGCACCCCGGGCCTCCCAACATTAAGCAGACACGCCGTAATATACCGTATTCGACGTAATAAGCGCCCCGCTCTAATAAGCGCCCACGGTGACATTTGCGAAGATATTGGCTAGTGAACAATCCCAATTAGCACCCCTTCCGATTGATCAATGTACACAAGACTTTTTTATTCGCGTATAATAAGCACTCATGTGTTATATGCTCCCTTAATTAGGGGTAATTGAATTATGGAAAAATAAATCTGTCGTACATAAATATTTCAGCATAATAACGATATTTATCTTTCAACTCAGTTTTTTTCACCAATATAATATTCTAGGAAGAGCCTCCTATTTCTAATTTTGAGAGCGCCTTACGTCGAATACGGTAAATGAAATATATTCATATTAAGCGGCGTTAAACCTTACCCACTCACTCACCAATTATCATGTCACAAAGAGTAAGAACGACCTTTTTTTGGATCACGATGTCTTTTCCAAAACTTATTCCAATAATGCTGTGACGATGGCGTTCGATCGTCACGCCCAAGACCCGGGTTCGATTCCCCACATGGGTACAATGTGTGAAGCCCATTTCTGGTGTCCCCCGCCGTGATATGAATATTGCTATTAGAGGTTTAAAACCAAACACTCACTCACTGACTCCAATACTGCTTTTCTGCTACAGATGTATGTTCCCGGGTACTGGCGAGAATGAAAGCCTCTGGGCTGCTGCCGTGTTCCTGTCCCAAGAACTGCAGGTTTGTGGAAGCTGCACAGCTGTGTAGTACTGTGCGAGACCCGTGAATATCCGGGGTAGAATTGTCTGCAGCAACCTATTCATGCCGTAAAAGGCGACTATGCTTGTCGTAAGATTTCTCTAACAGGATCGGGTGGTCAGACCCCCTGACTTGATTGATGCATGTCACCGCTCATGATGTTAAACACTGGATTGTCTGGTCCAGACTCGATGATTTACAGACCGCTGTCATAAAGCTGGAATATTGCTGAGTGCGACTTTAAACAACAAACACACACACAAACAAACAAACAAAAGTACTGTGGGAACCAGCGCTTACAATACACAACTTCTAAAACTAAATTCTTTCTTGAATCAAGTATGTTATCTGGGCAAGATACACGAGCAGGTTGACGGGTAACAAAAACCTACTGTATTTTAAAGAAGCAGTCATTGTATAACTGTGACTTGACCTTTCTTCACATATTTTCTGTTTGATTGGCATTTTTAGAAGTTGGTAACAGTTAGTACAAAATAATTTTGCAATGACAACTTCTTTATTTACTCTTGCTTGACAACGGTATAAGTGTCTATACGGAAAAGTCGCATCATAGAAGAATAAAGAAGTTGTCTTTACTTACGTTATCAAGGTAATAATACTTTACGTATGGAACCAAAGCTTACGAAAGTTACTTTACTTTCATCGGGACAGGTTTTAAACGTAACCTTAGGTCATCAGCAACCCATGCTTGCCGTAAAAGGCGACTATGCTTGTCGTAAGAGGCGACTAACGGGACCGGGTGGTCAGGCTCGCTGACTTGGTTGATGCATGTCATCGTGTCCTAATTGCGTGGATCGATGCTCATGATGTCAATCACTGGATTGTCTGGTCCAGACTCGATATTTTACAGACCGCCGTCATATAGCTGTTATATTGCTCAGTGTAGCGTTAAATAACAAACAAACATTACCTTGCTTAAGGTTAGATATGGGATAAATATTCCCTTACTTAGCATTGTTGCCTTATGCAACCCTTCATTTTTTTAAAGACCACAAATAGCGCCGCCATACGTCGGCTTTCCCACTGTTGTTGGGAACGATCTATCTGGTAGTTGAGAGGCTCCGGCGCCATTTGTAACCATAGTAACGCTTACCAAAGGGAATTAACATAGACAAATAGCAATGCGTACTAGAAATAATATTCGTTTGAGACTAGCCGTACTCGATTTTTTTTTTTAAATTTATAAAACGGAAATGGGAAACGCATTTTCTCAATACACCGCCATTAGGGGCGGTGTCGTAGCCTAGTTGTTAAAGCGTTCGTTCGTCACGCCCACGCCCCGAGTTCAATTCCCACATGGGTACAATGCCTGAAGCCTATTTCTGGTGTTCCCCGCCGTGATGTTGCTGGAATAGAGCACAAACTCAACATACTGACCCATTTAGATCGTATCGCAAAACGTAATTTTGAATGTTTATGTGACGGTTTACTGGCAATACCATATGCTGTCTTATTTTATACCACCCTTACTTTACATGGGATCCGTTGACAGAGTAAGAGTAATGCAAGTAGGAACATGTCATCTAAGTTCCCTTTTAAAAGGTACTTAATATAATCTATACTAAGTGTTGAGGTGAACTGATTGACGGGTACCCTTGGTCCTTGGCTACTCAGCACCTCCCAATCTAGTGTAGTCATCATATGATCATTGTTTGTTCTACAGGGAGCATCGCGTTACAACTTCCGGTTCCATCACGCCATGGCCTTCTCAACAACATCAGGTACGTACAACACGCTGACAACACCCTGCAAGTTCACACGCTTTGTAATCATAACAAAACAAGCATGAAATATTCATATCCCCCGCCAATATGACATGTCCGGTTGTGTGCAAGGCATAAGCCCTCAGGAAACGAGGCCTAACGCCATTTTCAGTCAAAGTCGTTGACATGGAAATTCGAATATTTGTTTCCCCCAAAATCCCAAACTATCAAAAGGCACCAGTTTATCACTAGACCTATCTATGTGCCAAGTATTGCGAAGAAATATTGTACGGTTTTTAAGATCTGGTCCGGAAAGGAACACTACCACCAGTTCACCACTAGACCTATCTATGTGCCAAGTTTGGTTAAGATATCTCTCATGGTTTTTGAGTTCTGCTCCGGAAACGAAACATTTCTATATCCCCCTTCCACTTTGTAGCGGGAGATAATATTAACTGAACAACACAAGGTATTGTCCGGTTTCTCAAAGAGACAAAAGTGGCTATTGTCACATGATTGACGCTAAGCCACCAGGGCCATCCTCCCACATGAAACTTATAGGCCGTCAGAGCAAGCATCGTCTTTTTCTTTGGAGGAGATTATACATGTAACATGTCCCCTTTACGACCGGAATAAATATTCTGTAGTTTACATGAAACAATAAACATTGCCTTTAAGCCGGTTATTGATGTATGTCATTCGAACTCGTTTTAAGGATATCGGATCGACTTCTCTTTCTTCATACGAACTGTCCAAAAGCACCAACGTAACGTTCAACATATATATTTTGTGTATTACAGGGTCATTTGCTGAAGAGTCTACACGAGAAGGGTTACCAAGGAGATGCTTCCAGCTTAAGGTACTAGAGTTGGCGTTAGATAAATATGAATGGTGAAGTACTGAGAAGGGTTGCCTTGGATATACTTCAAGGTTAAGGTATAACGCGTTGACGTTAGGTATATGTGCATGATCAAATATTGAGAGAGGTTGCCATGGAGATATTTACAACTTAAAGTACACCCAAGATATATGCACACGGTCAAGAATTGAAAAACAGCCTGAGCACTATTTCGACATGCTTCCTGCAAATCGTCCATTAAATGCCATGTTCTCGCTTTTTTTAAATATATTGGTTATATATTGCGTACCGTACAACAGGGCATTTGGGGATGTTTAGTTGGGCTAGACGCGTTGGACAAAGTGGTTTAACTAGTCTGTACGTGAAGTGCATGCACAACAAGACATTTGCTCCCAGAAATTGGCACTTATATTCATCAAGTGGACGTCACCCTCATTACCATACACATACAATTACTTTTACAATATGATTGATTGGTCTCACAACAAAACCTGCATTTTAGACTGTCAGCAGGTCCGCCATTGTGTTGCTCACAAGAGTGCGAACTACACCGGAAGCGCACCCATTACGCCTGGCGGAGGAACACAAAGGAGTAATGCCTCACCACTGCCTTGTGGTCCCTTCCGCTCCTCTTAAAGACGTACTGTCGTAATCTCTATCAGCAGTTTGTTGCATTTGTTTTCACACAGTCATGTTTTAGTTTAGAAAGGAATATCTGTTTGTGCAATATGCCAAAATGTGTTCAAAATATCGTGAAGGAAATCTTCGTCGTTATGCATGATCGGGGTGAGAATAATGGACATGTTATCAGTTTTTTCCCTTAGTTTGTGTTTTGAATAGGTTATTTCAGTTGGAAAATATGGTTTATTTATTAAAATGAAACCAAATATGAAGTAAATTTGATTCTTTAACGTCCATTTGATTTGTCGATCATTGTAAAGATGTGTCACAACGTCTGACTGAATTCGTCAGTTAATATATACAAACAGGAAGTGATCTGCAGGGGTCGGATGTTGCCTGATGGATGCCTTATTTAGAGATCAAATCGCATTGTCAAAAGTCAGAAACGAGTTATTTCCAGGATGGAATCGCCTTGGTTGGATCAATAGCTTGCTTGACATAAAGTCACTGACGGCTTCACACAGAAACACAAAAGTCCGCTTCAGTTGTTTTTGCATGGAATATCGTTATAGGCATTGTCCTAAGGTTTACTACTGCGTAATTGTCGCTGCATCGATCACGGGCTGTGTTACTCGCTGGAACTCCCGTCCAGTCCTTGGTAATCAAATATCTCGACAGACCTATCCAGGGAAAAAAACACGACCTGCACAATGATGATGTTTTTATTTGCTCACGAGAGTGGCAGCAGAAGCTCGAGTATTTACTTTTGCAATCAGATATATAAAATGGATTTTAGATTTGAATACGTATTGTACATTATTGTCAAGAGGTCACTTCTTGCAAGAAATAGAATTATCTGTATGTGTATATTTAACTTGATACAACAAGAAGGAAACCTTTGATGCCAAGATGAAATAATACGTGTCTATATTTGCGTGATTACCACGGGCCCAGGGCGTTATACGTGCGTACGGAAGCCTTTTAGGGTCATTTGTTTATTATTTTTGTTCTTGAAAATTCAAGATACTAAGTCGAAATTTTAAGATACTCAGTTGAAATTTGAAGATACTAAGTTGAAATTGAAGATGCTAAGTTTCAAGTTCATATCTGAAATTTCAACTCATGTATCTTGAAATTTCAACTTATGTATCTTCAAATTTCAACTTAGTATCTTCAAATTTCAAGATACTAAGTTGAAATAATTATTTCATTTCATAATCTCAAAAATTCCCAGGGGCCCAGGGCGTTAAACGTCGTACGGAAGCCTTTTAGGGTCATTTGTTTTTTATTTTTGTTCTTTGAAGTTGAAATTTGAAGATACTAAGTTGAAATTTGAAGATGCTAAGTTTCAAGTTCATATCCGAAATTACAACTTTTGTCTTGAAATTTCAACTTATGTATCTTGAAATTTCAACTTATGTATCTTGAAATTTCAATTTATGTATCTTGAAATTTCAAGATACTAAGTTGAAATTTCATTTAAAATCTAAAAAATTCAACTTATTATGTTTTATAATCTTGAAATTTCAAGAAGAAAAAATAATAAAACAAATGGCCCTAAAATTCTTCCGTACGAACACGATACATGCATTGAAATAATCTTAACGAACACGGCAAGGAGTCGAAGGGATTCGGGAACTCTAGACGCCCCAGCGGGCTATGGCGTTAGGTGCAGTGTACTTAAACCTAGTATTGTGTTTCACACGCATTTTCACACAAATACCGACAAGTGTGCGAATTAATGCTACTTTGTAAATGCTTTAATGTATCTTCGATCGATAAAATCGAAGATGAATTATGAAAAAAACACGTCGATGTAAATTCAAATAAAGAAATTGTCAAGCTCTTCCAAATCCGACGTGACATATTGTCTTGAGGGGAAATGCCGATGGCCAACGGGTATGCGCTGATTGGAGCTTTGTTGTTTTATCTTTGATACAGTTTGACGCACTCGTTGATGTACGATGGTGAGATGTTTGCATTTGACGGTTCTTTGATTAGAGCTGAGCCGTTTGTGTTTACATACTTCATATGCCATTATAAGGTTTAACCTATTTCGTTATTGCATATGCTGTGCAAATGTTGTTATGAATAGTCACACATATAGTAAACATGGTTACATTAATTCAATATTTTATTATATATTTCTCTTGTTGTTATCTTGTATAAATAGATATTAAGTTACAGCAACCACAAATCCCTTTTCAATGATTGTGTGAAGGCTTTGTGTAATATACACATGCACAAAAGTTAAGCGCCACCATATTTATAGTCTCTTGATTTCACGTGTGGGAATCAGAAATACGAAATATGATGATGTATGACTGAATTAGGCTTCAATAGTTTCATGAACCCAAATTTGTCCAGATACCACAAGGAAATTCAAGTTCCAGACACGTGGTTGCATTTTGCTCCTGTGTGAAATTACCCTTCCAATAGAGGTTGAAAATCAGCCATAGTGAGGAGAAAGTTAACGAACGCTGAAAGATGGCAAGTGATAGGCATGAAAAATGCTGGCATGTCATGCAGGGCCATTGCAAGACAAATGGGTCGTCATCACAGTGTTATCACTCGTTTGATTGTCAAACATGGTCAAACCAATGATGTCAATGACAGGCATAGGTCTGGTAGGCCAAGAAAGACCTCTAACAGAGAGGATAGACGTCTTTTCAGGATAGTCAGACGAAATTCGTTTGCCACTTCAACAGATTTAAGACTGCAGTGGATTACCCATCAGAGACTCTCGACGATGACCGTAAGGCGTCGCCTCAGAGCGGCTGGTTATAACGCCAGAAGACCAGTAAAACGTCCTCAACTGACTGAGAGGCACATGCGGAATCGTCTGATATGGTGTCGTGCCCGTAGTCGATGGAACTTGGCCAACTGCAGAAGGATCCATTGGTCTGACGAGTGTCGAATGCTGCTACGAACTGTTGATGGTCGAATACGTGTTTGGAGGCAACGATACACTCGTTTTGCGCCAAGGAACACCCAGAAGACCTTAGCATGTGGCGGGGGTCTGTCGTGATATGGGGTTGTGTTTCCTTCGGCTGCAAACTTCCGCTGGTGACAATTCGTGAGAACCTGATGGCCAACAATACCAAGATGCCGTTCTTCGTCCAGTGGTAGTCCCACATTTTGACAACCATCCTCTTCAGACAAGACCTGTTTACATGGACGACAATGCTAGACCACACAGATCTCGGGCAGTTTTGGCTTATTTGCGTCAAGAAGCAATTGCCACTCTTCCTTGGCCGGCCTGTAGTCCGGATCTTAATCCGATTGAGCATCTGTGGGACATTCCTGGCCGAAAAATCAGACATCGTGATCCCCCAGGTCAAAATCTCGCTGGACTTGAAGCCGCACTTCATGAAGAATGGATCCGTTTGCCTCAGAGAAGCATTCAACGACTTGTAATGAGTATGAGGCGTAGGGTTGAAGCCGTGGTCAATGTCCATGGATCATACACACGTTACTGACGATTCTGTCTAGCAATTGACTCTGCACTCCCTAGGGTGTCTATGTGACACCTGATATGGTCTGCTGATATCATGACAGTTACATGAAAAAAAAGTTTTTCAATGTTTTCTAATCCTTCAATTTCTGGTCTTTGGTAAAATTCCTTTCTGCTCATATTCTTTTAGAACACAAGATAAACTTTCTTTGGGACAACTTTTGCATCACATGAGGTTTACATATACGGCTTATAACAATCGTATATCTCGTTATAATAGTCATCATTAAGTGCCAAAAGTAACAGCTCACAAATATGGTGGGTGGCGCTTAACTTTTGTGCATGTGTATATTATGGCATGTATTATTGTATGGTTATAGGTGGGCCCCCTTCTGTTATGCCTCTGATCACACCCTATACTTTAACATAGAATAACAATAGGCCTGATGCTAAGATCGCTCACGTTCTACATCACCGTGGTCCTTTTGCTGGACCAACCAGCCTCCGGGTTGCACATCTTGAACATCCGATTCCTATTTTTTTCTGCTTAGCGAGTAGTCATCCGATCTATATTTCAGCCTACTTAGCGGGTGGTCATCCGATCTATATTTCAGCCTACTTAGCTGGTGGTCATCCGATCTATATTTCAGCCTACTTAGCGGGTGGTCATCCGATCTATATTTCAGCCTACTTAGCGGGTGGTCATCCGATCTACATTTCAGCCTACTTAGCGGGTGGTCATCTGATCTACATTTCAGCCTACTTAGCGGGTGGTCATCCGATCTACATTTCAGCCTATTTAGCGGGTGGTCATCCGATCTACATTTCAGCCTACTTAGCGGGTGGTCATCCGATGGACATTTCAGTCTGCTTAGCGGGTGGTCATGCGATCTACATTTCAGCCTACTTAGCGGATGGTCATCCGATGGACATTTCAGTCTGATTAGCGGGTGGTCATGCGATCTACATTTCCATGTCCTCTTAGCGGGTGGTCATACGATCTACATTTCAGCTTAATTGGCGGGTGGTCATCCGACCTACATTTCTATCAGTCTACTCAGCAGGTGGTAATCGGATCTACTTTTTTGTCTGCTTAGCGGGTATTCATCTGATTCACATTTTAATCTGCTTAGGATGATTATTGGTCGGTGTACATCGGCGGCAAGGTGTACACGGGGCCTATTCTGACCTTCGGGGAATACCAGTCATTAAACGTGTTTCTTCCTTTCTTTCAGAGCTGAACTGGTGCAGGTCGAGATCACTGCGTATGACACTGTATATGAGCAATATCAAGAAAAACGTGATGTAACGGTGAGTATAAGCAGCATAGAAGAATATTTTTTTTGTTTTTGTTGGTTAACGCACGCAAGAATATTCAAGCTATATGACGTCGGCATGTAAAAATCGAGACTGGACCAGAAAGTCCAGTGATTGACATCATGATCAACGATCAACACCGTCGGGGTACGTGAACACGCCATTAACCAAGTCCCCGAATCTTACCACCCGAACCGTTTGGCCGCCTCTTACTGGTTGATGGGGGCCTATTCTAACAAGGAATCCCCATGTTGAGGAAGAAATGTTAGGAATAAGAGAGCTGGAACTGGTCTTTTAGGATTTCTTTACTGTGACGTTTTGTCTGTTATTAAAGAAATAGAATGCTTTCAAAGGTCAGAAATAATATAAATGTAAGGTGGTCTCTCAGGCTCTGGTTCAATACATAATGACATTTCTATGTTGTTTCATGTATTGATTTCATGCACTACAGACATTCATTTAAGCATTTCAGTCGAAGCGAATTTTTTGGAAAATATTTTTATTATCAAAACAATGTTTACAATCAGCGGCTTTAATGAAAGTTTCAATAATGATTCAAAGCTGCATAAATGTACCATAGATGGCCGCCCGAATTGTTCGAATTAAATGTTTTGTGCCTGGACGTCTTTCATAGCCGTTTCCCAGATTTGAATTGGAGATAAAATGTCATTCTGCCAACACAAGAATAAGGTATGCTTTCTCTTACAATATTTTACCAAGTATATCCGATAAAATGGTCATTTCTTAATTTGTGTTGTTAACTCGTCAAGAAAATGTAAATTTCAAAAAACAAATAGTTGTGATAATTGTGTGAGCATGTTTTGTAACATGACACAAACGTATATTGTGTCTAAATGTACGGTTATGTTAAGGTCATGGTACAGAAAATCTGCAAAGAAGTGCAGTGTGTTATTCAGTTAAATGCATTGTTGCAATCGTAACAGGTCTCCGCAAAACCGTTCCAATACGGTTCGCTCCGGAAAATGTCGAGAGGCTCCGAATGAGAACAAACACTGCCTATTGAAAGCGCTCGTGTGTCAACAAATGGTCATTGAATCGATGATAACATTTACCTGATCGAAATTGGTATTAAGAGCAAACTCATTTTATGAGAAAGCTAAATAAAACACGGCCTAGTTCGATTACGAGACAACAGAGGACCTTACACTAAAACAATGCCGATATTCAGGTAGCACATGGATATTTGGTGTAAGTATTGCGTATTGTCTTACGTGACGCACTGATATGTCGATATCAGTATTCCATTTTGAAATACAAGAAACCAACAAAGATGTAATCACTGATTTTCAGTTATCCATTCATATAATGTTCCCCACTATTTCACCTCTCCTCACCTCACCTCACCTCACCTCACCTCGCCTCACCTCATAGCAAAATCATCTCATACTGGGATTAAGTTTTTCGTTTAAAGGTTCATAACATGGGAAATGTCTGCATAAATGATTTAAAGATGATCTTAATTCAGGGCGGTGTTCACAAAGCTAGCTTAGGAACCACCCCTTTGTATTCTTGGATTTTGAGAAAATATTTATTTATTTTTTTATTTTTTTATTATTTATCTATTTTTTTATTTATTTTTTTATTTATTTTTTTATTTATTATTATTTTTATTCTCATTTAGTGTGTGTTTTGGAGGGGGGGGGGGGGGGGGGGGGCATTCCTTTTACAACACATTATTTTCAGAACATTCAGCAACACGTGAGAAAATTATTATCTTGTCGAGTATGGTCTGGTCTGGAACAATTTATTTTTACTTCAAATCAGAGTTGCTGTAATGGGATCACCAAGCAGTGTTTTTTTAAAACTGGAGCTGGTGTTATTCCTGTATTTTACTGTTTACAGATATTCGGACTGCTGGTGGAAGTTGGGGCGTTCTCCGCCCTGATATGTGGAATGTCCCTCATCACGTGTCTCCAGCTCCTCGTCGGATTGGTCAACCTCATTTTCAGGGCGTATAGACGTGCCTTCCAGAGGTAGACCTATCTAACGTTTTCTCTTTGTTTCGTAAAAGCAGTTGGTTTCAGAGCTCTTATTTGTATCTGTTGTTTCGTAACCAAACTTCTTATTATTAGAAAATTAACTTGAGTACCTTGGAGTGGAAGCCAATTTGGCCGGAAGCCCCATTTCCAGACCATGACCGTTGGTTCTTCAAGAACGTGGCATTACTCCGATCAAGAGTCGTTAATCCGGGACGTTTAAGTCCGGACAATTTCGCCGATATCGGAAGGTCCAGATAAACGTGGATAATGTGATGGCAAATAAATCAACACATGGAGTTCTGTTGGGGTTAATAGTATGAGTCTGGTGCTACTAATATTGTTTCACACCCTGTGAAGATCCCACTAGGATATGTCACAGTGGTAGACATTTGCATGAGTAGTGATAAGCACAAGACACACCTAAACATGCTAGATCTGGGGTAGAAGAGGTCTTCAGCAACACATGCTTGTCGTTAGGCGACTATGCTTATCGTATGAGGCGACGTACGTGATCAGGTGGTCAGACTCGCTGACTTGGTTGATGCATGTCGTCGTATCCCAATTGCGCAGATCGATGTTCACGGTGTCAGTCACTGGATTGTCTGGACCAGACTCGAATATTTACAGACCGTCGTCATATAGCTGGAATATTGCTGAGTGCGGCGTTAAACATGAAACAAACAAAACATTGGTTCACACGTCAGTCCTTTTGTTTAACCAGTGATGTGCATCTTTACTTTTCAGAGATGTTCCCCGAGAAGGAGTACAGCGACTGAGAGACGCCGACGTTCAGACAGTCACGTGGTCTCAGAAGGGAACCAGTCACGACAAAACCAGACACCAATCAACAACCACCTTTCTGTCAACACTCTCGCCTATTGGTCAGTCATACTTGGATCCAATAAATGAGGTAGATACGCCACGGACCGAGTCCCACACTTACGAGGCTATCTATTCTAGAATAAGCCCACGGGATGCGCCGTGTAACGCCCACAGCAGGTCCAAGGCTTCCGACAGGACCTTCAGCCAATGGCCCCCTTCTAAGACCAGTAGACAGTGGAACGCCACCGACGGACCCTCTGCGGGGAGAGAACGATGGAAAAAGCCGTCTTTTGGTTCTTTAGGGAAAGCGGGATTTGAAAATAAAGTATTTTATGGTTCAAAGGACGATCTCAACAAGCAGTTTCCCGCTGCCGACAATGGCACTGACCGTATGAAAGCTATTGCATCGCCTCGTCGAAATTCTTGGTCCGAGCGTCCGGCTATTCCGCCCCTGGACCTCACCAAAATAGAAAATTCGGACGGGTTCTGGATGCGAAATGGAAAGTTAGTCTCAGCAGAGGATTACTTCAAACGTTCCGGAAGCGGAAGTCACGTGCTCACGTCGACCGATTTCGCCAGACGATACGGAGTACCCCATGTTCAAGGCAACATTGACAAGACAAAATCTAAGAACGTGTTTTATATGTAATCTGAAGCTCATGATCGGTTGTTATCTTGACGGAGATATACTTGTGTAAAGTTCACCAGCGTATTTAAACAATGAATAAATTGTATGTTTTAAAGTTTATTCTTAACCATAATATATTGTGAGGATATTTTTTGTTGTGAAGACGGAGCATACATTTCACCAAAAATATTCAAGATCCCAAGTTTTTTTCAGTATATATGATGATGGAATAGAATATCACAACTGCCAACGCCATAACAGTATTATGATGAGTGAGTGAGTTAGAATTTAACGTCGCATCGGCATTATTTCAGCCATATTGCGACTGCAATATTATAAACCTAGTATTGAACATTGTTTCTATTGTAAAGTTGCTTTAGAAATTCTCCATGTATATAACCATGTATATAACACTATATTTATTCATATTGTTCCACAGGGTAAACATTACAATACTTTGAATAAAATAATTTGAAGAGTTGAAGTGTTGTAATATGACAGATAGTTTTATCGATGTTATAGGCCAATTAGATTAACATGGTATCACATCCGGTGCATATGCAAATGAGATCACCTAGCAGGAACTACTTTTAGTACATTCTTTACAACAATGTGGTGTTTACTTCCTCAAACCGTGTTGTATAAAGTTCCCTATATAATCCGATGGTAGTTTCGCGATGTGTGAGCGCTTGTGTGGCTGCCATCGCTGCAAGTAAGTTGGCACTACATTATAGATGGGGCGGTTCACTCAGGCTATATATTCCTACGTGGGTTCTAAAGGTACTATAGTCAATAGCAATGTCTTAAACTTCGATTATTTGAAGAAGGGCATTACATGATAAAGAGATCTTACTCTCGTGTGCTTTAGCATTGTACATATCATATATTAGGAATGAATAACACGCACTACGCTCCCCTGGCAAAGGCTCGCATAATACAATCTTTATTCCTAATATATGTTCACAATACGAAAACGGTGTCGACTAATAATCTCTATTTGCCCGTTTACCATCAGTGCAGTCAGAATCGTAGAATGGACTTTCAGTGGAGATTTCTTATTCATATCATTTCCACCGCTATTTTGCCTTTTACGTCCAGTGGAATCTGTGTCGTCGGATAATCGAGACTGGTTATTCGTTGGCGTTTTATGTTTATCAGTATTATGATTATGGAAAGGGTTTTGTCGCTTTTATTAAAATTATAAGCAGCATCAAACAACACAAAGGACGAATAATGTGAGCCAGTGCATACTGGCACTTCAACTATGTCGAATGTGTGCGAAGCATATTTTCCATTGCAAAATTCTAGCCATTCTATTAGATTCTATTTTGATAACAGCGACGGGCCCATATCTATAAATAATAGCGACAAAACGTTTTCCATATTAATAAGAAATCTCTGCCAAAAAGTTCGTTGAATTATTCCGACTATATCGGAAGCATGTGTTTTGGAATCCTTATCAAATAGTGATGATACCAATTGTTGGCGAAAACGTGAGCGTGTCCTGCCCCACAGGTGGCGCCTGTCACAAACACATGCAACGGCAAGTCACTTGTTCTCCTGAACATATGGTACGAGTAGAGAGTAGTAGAAAATCCGATTCGTATGCAAAGTGAAACAGATTAGCACGGGGAAGGATAGTCAGTAATACAGATCCTGAAACAAAAATATTTACATTACTGAATGAAGAAAGTATCTTGGCTTCTTTTCACTATATTTTATAAATATATATAATTTCACAAATGCTTTTTCTGTAAAGTATGTTCATTTCCGAGACTATATATTAGTCTAAGAGCAGCACAGTCACTACTTGTCTAAATGTTCAATGTCCAAATTTGACAAAGTTATTATCAATCAGGAAATCAAGCATCACACATTTAGTTATCTAAATATTGTTTAAGTCTTAACAAATTGACCACATCCATAAAAAATCGTAATAAACTTAAATTTCAAAACCCCGTTCATGGCAACAAAGCCCAATTGATTATGGAATCTAATTTCTCTTTCAATTGATCATGACGGATAACTTTATAACGGGTGGGCGAATCAATAGGAATGAAGGAGTAATTGAGGTTATTGCAAAGTTAATATTGTCATGAGCGGTGCAGCATCGATTTCGATTTTTTTACAAAAAATTTCTCACCCAGTTGGAGAATCAGTTAGAACAACACGGAATTAATTTCATTTTCATTATATGCTTCTGGTCAGTAAGATAGTTACGATGTATGGGGCCGACCAATTGATATTCTGGGGGTGCCTGGGATTTTATCGAAAAAACTAAGTTGTTCCCGAAAAATCTGGAAGAAGCTTATTATGCCTCAGATTGTTGAAAACAAATGCCTGCCACAAAAATGACTTTAAAAGATCAGGCTGATACTTTGTTTTTGTAGCTGTCGCTGGAAAAATATCTACGCTTCATACAGAATCCCATCCCAATATCAAATTGTCGGTCCTTAAGACTGTTGATGTCAAGAGTTGAGTTCCCCAGACCTAAATTCTATTTGTTCACGGCAACACAGAGATAAAGGGACGTTTGTATCTCTATGACAACGCAATTTACGTTATTGTTATTACATTGTGGAAAATATATCAACAGAAAGTCTAACACACATTGGGACATAGCCAATACTCCAGACAAAGATTACTTAAAGATTAACGTTACTGTGCTAGACGATTAATTAATAACAGTGCACAGTTTCAGTATTTCGATGTACAATATATATTTTGGCTTCGGAGTTTTTGATAGTGACGGCACGTGTATACAATTGATTTCTCACAGAACATATATGTTCTCGCGTCCACTAACTAAGGAGATCGTGGCTCTGTGTACTCTGTGTGTAACGAGGTATTGATTTCTACCTCAAACTTTGATTTTCTTTTTAAGTAAATATATTTTAAAACTTATCTTACCTTATACAATACATTTCTTCCTTCTTCTTTGATCCTGGTGTGGAGACGTCTTGGAACAAAGTTTCCAGCTTAAAAAAACAACTCACCCCAACACACCCCATACATCACCATGGTCACCACGATAAGCTATGGGCCACGCACTGCTGCTATCTCCTGCGATCCGACCCTGTCCAACCTAATGTGACTGTCGCAGACAGCGTAAATGTTCACAGTGCTCTCAAAGACAAAGAACATCTACACCTTCGAGGGATAGACATCATGATCTACATCGATACCACTCTCCTATAGATCAACATCAACCCTCGAGCCACGTCTCCTGCAAGTTCGACATCCAGATCCACTGTCCCGCAGCAGGTCGCCTCCGTGTACTCTGTAACCATATCTTACTTTATGGAATCAATCTTTAGATCCACTTACCAAAAGGGATCAGGTTAGTGATCAACCATTAGCTACTTCACTGGACCACCGGGATCAACCTATCTCACGGATTTCGAATTGCTTTTACAAGCCATGCAACATCGTAGTGGCCATAAGAACTTACCTCCTCGGAACACCCCTGCTGATACCTCCCGTGAAGCTCCTTCTAATGCAGTGGATTCGGTTAACTTGGACACGACACTAGCACAGCCAGGCTTCACCAGAGAGGGTCATTGACAGGGAGTTTCAATAATGTCGACCTTTCGGATTGTGGATATATTGGATTTGCAAAGAAATCAATTGGAGGAGGATCATTCGACTGGTTTCATTGTAATAAGCTCTACAATGCCTACCATTACGTTTTGCTCAGTTAAGAAAGCTTGAGGACAACTTGCTGACTCCGAAGTTTAGCTTATCGGACTGTGGGACCTATGGTACCGTATGTCAGTGTCACTTCACCGGAGCTAGATGGAGATGTTCACACCTTGAACCTTAAGAGGACATCCCCCACTTGAATTATTTGACGACCCCATTTTTCACTCTGTATGCTACAGTACACTCCCGCTCCTATCCACAATCACGCCTGCCAAGTGATCTGAGAAAACCCATACCAGAGGTGCCAAAGCACTGATACATCACAAGATCCAAGGAATTATGGACGTTTTATCTCACCACCTGGGTTATGTCACATCGTTGCGTTGTCGTGGTAACTACAACCAATCCAGTACTTCTTGACGCCCTTCCTACAGGAAGACAACTGCACCTTCCCTTCAGCATCCATACAGTTCTTCCGACTGATCGATTTCCTTTGCATTCAGATTCGGACCAGGCACATTCTGGGGATCCACAACGTCATAGCGGATGCACTATCCCGTCCAGTTCAACTATCCCCGACAGAATGGAAAGTCCAACCAACGATTTTTGGTGGATTTGCCAACTCTGTCATAGCCCAGACGTCGATCTCTTCGCAACCCGGTTATACACACAGTTGCCGGATTTATATCACCCATCCCTGGTCCAAAGGTCCTGGGAGACAGATCGACAACACCATCACTTACCCCTGCTAAGAGATCTACTCCTACAGCCTCACTCGTACCTATTGCACCCGTCGGTGTACACCTTCATTCTCTCCAAAAGTCCATCATAGCCAAGTGGTATCACAATAGGGTTGCCAAGACCGTCATCAAAGTACATTGCACTTTCACCAAAGCCTTACATGACCACAAGTGGTAGGGCTTTAAAGGGAATTTTCAGGATGAGAACGGGATGTGTGTCATTGTCGAGATGGATGCCTTCAGAGACGGTTACACTGGATGTGTGGGTCATTACACAAAGGTGGATGCCTTCAGACAGGAGCACACTGGATGCTTGGCATTCCACCCAGGTGGATCACTGGGTGCCTTAAAAGACAAGTACACCGGGTGTGTGATATCATGTCAGATACATCAAATGTGTGTCATTAAGTTGAGGTAGTTGTCTACAGAGACAGGTACACTGGATATCTGTCATTATGCCAAGATGGTATCCTTCAGAAACGAATACGCCGGATGTGTTTTATCATGTCGAAGTGGTTGCCTTCAGAGATGGTTACACCGGATGTGTGTCATTACGTCGGGATGGTTGCCCTCAGTGACGAGTACAGTGGATATGTGTTATCAAATCGAGGTGGTTTCCCTTAAGGGATGGGTACACTGGATAGGGTCATCATGCCTTGGTGGTTGCACCTTTAGGCGAACATCCAGTATCATCACTAAATTGTTTCATTGTTGTTTCTTTGTTGTTGTTTCTTTGTTTGTGTGTGTTTTTTTATGGTGGTTTAACGCCCGCACTCCGCAATATTCCAGCTACATGACGGTGATATGTAAATAATCAAGCCTGGACCAGACAGTCCATGGACTGGCATCATGAACATCGATCTACGCATTTGAGATACGATCAGCAAACCTGACCACCGATCGTGTTAGCCACCTCTGGGCTACTGAAGTCAAGCATGGGCTGCTGAAGACCAATTCTAAACTGGGGTTTCATCACTAAGTGATAGTGATTCATACTTAACACATACTTAACATGCACACACATATGGAAAGGGATTTGTTGCTCTAACTTCAATGATCATATTGCTCTGTGAGTGTGTAATTAACGTATGGTTCCGTC